CACCATTCATATAATGGATTATGGGAATGGACTGCCCTGGAACTGTGCAGTGCACCGCCTGTGCAACTAAACATGAAAGACCTGTCGATCTATATGAGGTGGAAACTGCTGCTAATAACTGTCCAAAACCCCTTGGACTAGCTGGTTCCCTGGAGTCCTCACAGTATGGATGTTTTGTTGCTACAAAGCAGATGGTGTTTTCCTTTCACTGCCAGACAGCCTGACTCCCGGCATCCCCCTCCTGACACATGGCAGCTTCAGCCAGCAGATCCATCCTCCCACCTGAGGCCTCCTGGCCAGAGTGCCATCTGCGGCTTCCCTCCTGGGGATACTATGTTTCACTATAGCCTGGCCAGCGTGTGACTGTGGGGGCCAGGAGTGGGGGTAGCCACTGTGCTGAGAGCTGGCTCTCTGCCATGCAGGTGATGGTCTGGAACCTAGACACAAAGGAGTCTGTAATCAAGAGCCCCGTGAAGACAATTGACTGTCACCAAGATGTGATCCTCTCCATGTCCTTCAACACCAATGGCAGCCTGCTGGCCACCACCTGTAAAGACCGCAAGATTCGGGTTCTCGACCCCCGAGCAGGGTCCGTCCTTCAGGTCAGTGCTAGGCTGGGGTCTGGCTTGTGGTCAGAAGAGCAACAAGTGGAGTGGAGATGGCAGAGGCGGTAATGCTGGCAGTGTTCTGGCCAAGCCTTCACACATTATCCCAGTCTGTTGGGAGGTAGGATGAGTCACCCCCATTTTCCAGATGAGAAAACTGAGGCCGAAGAGAGGGTAAGCAACTTGCCCACACAGAAAGCTGGGATTTGAACCTGGTCTAACGCCAAAACTTGTCGGTGTGCCTCAGATCTGTCAGGAGGCAAGACATGGGGTTGGAGACCTCAGGATACTATTGATCCATGATGTGTGACCTTAATCAAGCACTTTTAGGTGTCTAAGCCTCTGTTTCCTCATCTGCAACAATGGGCAACAGTTAGTCCTTCCTCTCGTAAGATTAAATAAGATAACCCAGATGACAGTCATCCTACCCAGCCCCATGCCTTGCATATAGTGGGTGTTCAATAATCTTTCAACAAGAGCATGGAGCTGGGCAGAAGTATAACTCTGGAAGGATTTTCCAGGAAGAGCTGGGGTGAGCCAGGAAGGCACTCCAGGTGAAGCACCAGCATAAGCAAAGGCAGGGGAGTCCCTGACTGCACATGTTCCTCCAGGAAGCCAGCTACAAGGGGCACCGGGCCAGCAAAGTGCTGTTTCTGGGGAACCTGAAGAAGCTGCTGTCCACAGGCACATCCCGATGGAACAACCGGCAGATGGCCCTGTGGGACCAGGTGAGTCTCCCACGAACGCCCCACCAAGTCTCCTCACCATCATTCTTTAGCTGAGTGCTGGCTTCACTCATTCATTCATTCATTCATTCACTCACTCATTGTTTGGATTAATTAATAAATAACAGGGGGATGCTAGCAGCCTGATGGCATGAGTCCAGACTTTGTGCATCTTGTCATTCAAGAAGGGAGAGGGATCAGGATGGAGGAGAGGCTGCCGTGTAGGGGGGAGAACATGGCTGCATCTGGGACCAGGACTTGTGGGGAGGAAGGAGAGGGCCTTCTGGGCAGACGAAACAGCTGGAGCAAGGGCTTGGAATGAAATACTGAGGCGTGTGGGCAGGAGGAGTTACATGTTCAAGGCAGCTGAGGGTAGGTATGGGGACAAGGGGAAAGCCAAGCAGTATTGATTTGAAGGAGCGCTTTGGCTGGAGTTTCAAAGACTGGACAGATTGCTTCCCAGATCTTCTTCATCTATTACAATAAATAAAACAGGAGGTAGAGGGCTGGAGTGAGATGAGGTGTGTGAGAAGTGATTCATGAAAGGCAAATGCTAGCAAATAAAAGGTGCTCTCTCTCTCTCTCTCACACACACATACACACACAGTCTTTCATGTTCTCTCACACATGCACATGCATGTGCACACACGTATGCACATCCAGAGCCCCGTGGCAGGAATTCTTAGCTCAGAGAGCACCACTGAGGACCGCCATGAGTGACCCACAAGCCTTCCTGGTCTCCCTTCCCTTGCAGGACGACCTCTCAGTGCCTCTCACAGAGGAGGACCTGGACGGCTCCTCAGGCGTACTGTTTCCCTTCTATGACACAGACACCAACATGCTCTACGTGGTGGGGAAGGTCAGCCTGGCACGGGAGGGAGGTGGCCACATGGAATTCTGAGGCAGGAGGCAGAACTACCCCAAGCCTAGCCCCACTAGTGGCCAGACAGTAGCCTGGGGTCCTTGGGGTACAAGGCAGGGGCAGGGGCAGGCAAGAGCTGGGTAGTCTCCCCCTGTGGTGAGCCCAGCACCCCTTTCCCACCTCCCTGGTTCCCTAAGCCACATGGGGCCAGGGCTTTAGCTAGACACCCCAAGCTGGTCCCTCTCCAACTCTGGGTCCAGACGAAGAAGGACTAGTTGGTGTTTCTCTTTGGGGACACCTTCGAATTTGGGGCAGAGCAGTCCTCCTGCTTGGCAGCCCTGGCCCCTACCCACCCCACCCCCCACGGCAGCATTCTCTCACCCCCACCCCGCCCAGGCATTGTGACAGTGACAACCAGAAATGCCCCTAAGGTAAGACCCACTGACTAGTTTCAGGACATGCCTCTGACCTTTGTGTGCAGCTCGTGGATGGGAGCGGGGTTCGGGCCTGTGCTCCCAGAACTTAGAGCCACCCGGTGGACTTTGGGTCACAGGTGGGGGAACTGAGTGTTAAAATGAAGACCCTCCTACTGCCTTGGTGACATTTCTCTGGTGTCCCCTTGTGTGAGGTGGCTTTGCCAACTCTGTACGTCCTGTGAACGCCAGGTTTCTGCTACATGGCACTGGGGTGCCTGCTGGGGGGATGACGGGAACCAGCTCTGAATCCTACCCTCCTCCTCAGGGAGACGGGAACATCCGCTACTATGAGGTGAGCGCCGACAAACCTTACCTGAACTACCTGACCGAATACCGCTCCTATCACCCACAGAAGGGGATTGGTGAGTGTGGGGCAGCAAGGCCACTTGGGGCCTTGAGAGACAGGGATGAGGCAGATTTGAGCCCTACCCTGGGTACGAGCGCAGGGGGGCTCACATTCTGAAGGGAAGATGGCGAGTCAACACTGACTCTATGAGAGCTCTGGTTAGGTGTGTGGGAGGTTCTCTGGGAGGCTTCCTGAAGGAGGCGACATTTGAGGAACAGGAGGAAGTAGAGAACAGCATGGGGAGAGAAGGACGGTGTTCTAGGCCAGGGTTAAGCAGTTACAACAGTAGCAAGGAGGTGAGAGAGACTGACCTACTTTTTCAGTGTGTTTGGGGATTAAAATAAAAAAAGACGCAACTATTGTCTATAAGAAACCCATTTAAACATAAAGCACAGCTAGATTACAAATAAAGAGGTGGAGAGAGATATACCATGCTAACAGTAATCAAAAGAAAGCTGGACAAGCTCTATCAAGAACATCTGGGTCATGAACTGTGGGGATGGCGATGGAAGGCCTGGAGCAGAGCACACTCCCTGCAAAAGTCGAGCTAAAATCACTTAAATCCTTGAAGGTGGGGACAGAGCCTGATGATTGCAATCCCGTTTCCCCAGCCCAGGGCCCGGCCCTGCAGAGGTGTTTGCTCATGGGTGTTTGTTGAGGGAAAGAAGATGGGAGGAGGGTGGTCTGTGGTCTGTGTTCACATCCAGATGTGCAGCCTGGCTTGGTTCCTCACTCTGGGTCCCTGTGACCCCAGCTCAGCTGGAACCGCTTGGCCTTTATTGGCTGTCTGCCTGCAGGTGTTATGCCAAAGAGAGGTCTCGACGTGTCCTCCTGTGAGATCTTCCGTTTCTACAAGCTGATTACAACCAAAAGCCTCATCGAACCCGTATCCATGATTGTGCCCCGGCGGGTAAGGGTGGCGGTGGGGTCTGCAGGGGAGGTGGGGAACCCTTTCTGGAGAAGAGAGAGCCTGGTGCCTGGAGCCTGTGCCCCTGGGGCAGCAACAGGGAAGCTGATGGCCGCTTACCGTAAGGGAAGAAGGTCTTTCTCATGGTCGTTGCGGAGTCACTGGGAGCTCGGAATCCTGACTCTTGTCTGGTCTCTGCTCTTGAGTTGCTGTGTGACCTTGGGCATGTTCCTTTGCTCTCTGGGCCTCAGTTTCCTCAACTCACAGGGGTTGAGGAGGGCCTAGATCCCCAGCTCTCTAAGAACCCAACCTGTCCAGGTGGCCTGCCCTGCCACCCCAGCTCTCACTGTCCTGACTTCTCCTGCAGTCAGAATCCTACCAAGAAGACATCTACCCGCCCACGGCAGGGGCTCAGCCCTCTCTGACAGCCAGGGAGTGGCTCAATGGGATGAATAAAGGTGAGGAGGACAGAAAAGAGGCCTTGGGTCAATGTGGGAGGGAAATGGAGTGTCCGATGGCTCAAGTAGCTGAGAGGGGTTTGGACAGTGTATTTTCCCGTAACCCCAGAGGACTACTCCTTGACCGTCAGTCCCCAGTTGCTGGGATGGTCACTTACAGGTCCAGGAAGGGAGAGACTTGTCCCAACTGGTTCTGAAAACTCCCTCCAAATCAAAGGATTTTGCTCCATGGAAAACTAAATTCTGGGCTGTGCAGTGACTGGATAGTCTCAGGTGGAGGCCCTTGCCCATCCGCCCACCCCCACATCCACAATTGCTCTTTGACCCGAGAGACCCTCTAGGGAGCAGCCCCCACCCAGGCCCTTCTGCCCACTCTACCTACCCTGACTTACCCTCCCTGTACTGTCAACACAAGGGCCATATGTGCTCCCCATTCCAGCCGCAGCAGCTGCCTCTGTGATTGGGAGCTCCCTCCCCTTCCCCTCCCCCCACCTTTATTGTATAACTCTAGACAGTCCCGCCCCTCTCTCAGCCTGAGTTTTCTCATCTGTCTCAGTGATGTCTGCCTCCCCTGCTTCCCAGGGCCATTGGCAGAATTCATGAACTGGTAGATGGCAGAACGCAATGTGGGCAGGACTGTCCTTACAAAGCCAGGGCAAGGCTTCGCTTGAGGAACTTGAGGTGTTCGGGGCAGCTCCAGGGTGTGCACCATGCTGCTCCTACAAACCGAGCCTCCTTAGATATCATATGCCTGGGTATTTGCTCTCTGGTTGCCCCAGTCCGCGGGTTTGTGCCTGCCTACATGTGGCCAAATCTCCCACACCTCTTGCATGTATCTGTACGTCTGCGTGTGTCAGTGCCCCCATGCCCGTCTGCTCACGGTCACTCTCGGTCCTGACGTAGCCCTTTGCTTCCCTCCCAGAGCCAGTCCTGGTGTCCCTTAGGCCCGGCTCTGAGCTGCTGAGCCCTCGACCTCTGCCGCCAGAGAGACCCCTCCTCAAGCCCGTGGTCCCTGCCTCGCCCCAGCTCTTCAACCAGACAGAAAAGCTGGTTGCAAAAGATGGTCGGAGGCCATTCTCTCTACTGGAAGAAAAGGCGCCAAGGTGGGCGGCAGAACACAAGCTGGAGGAGAAGAAAACCTGGCTCACAAATGGCTTTGACATCTTCGAATGCCCTCCACCAAAGACAGAGAATGAGGTGTGAATGAGGGCGGGAGTGGGCCTGCACTGGGGCCGGGGTGGCGGGGGAGCGGGGGCAGGACAGGCCGTGGAAAATGAGGGGCTAGAAAAATAACCAGCTATGTGGCCTGGCCGAGCTACTTAATTCACTGTATTAATTTATGCAACAAACAGGTAATGGGTACTATCTGTATGCCAAGATGGCGGGTTTACATACAGATGGTGGGGAACCAGCTGTAATACGCAGAGGATTTGACTTGGTAGATGTTAAAGTCCCTTCCAGCTCTAGGATTTCTGTGCTTTCGGAGTCAACATTTGTTAAGTGCCTGCTGTGTGTGCCAGGTCCTGTGGTAGGCACTCTGATATATCATCTGAATGAATTCTCTCAGCAGCCCTGGGAATAAGCAAGCAGGGGCTAAAAACTCAAGGGCTGGCGTCTCACAGAGGGATTCTAATCCTGGCTCTGCTGAGCACTAACTGCAGGACCTCAGCCCCAGGGCCGAGTCTGTCTCTTAGCTTCAGTTTCCACAGTGGTAGCATGGGGGTACTAATACTACCGCCCTTACAGGGGCATTGTGAGCATACAGTGGAATAACAAAGATCCTTACTTAGGGGGAGCATCCAACCCTAGGACCATTCTATACAGAGCAGCAATTGTGATAATGCTGAGGTTAGTTTTCTGACCCTCATTTCCTGGAGGAGGAAATTAAAGCCCAGAGAGGCTGAGTAACTTACCTGAAGTCACACAGTTTAGTGGTGGTGAAAACTCCAATCTTCAGACATCCGGGCCAAGTATCCTTCATTCCTTGGGGGAACCTAAGAAGGCAAAAAATATCTGAAATATCAAGTCTTTTTGAATTTCACTTACTAGGAGAAGAAAAGATGTATGCAATGGCTGCATGTGTCTCGGCCACATTAATCTAATCACTTCCATCTTTCTGAGTCCAAAAGGGACCATATTTTATCCTTTCTGCTAGTGTCCTGCCCCTTCGCATCCCCGGACACCCAGGTGACCTTCCCGTCTGTTCTGTGCTCTCTCCCCCAGCTGCTACAGATGTTCTATCGGCAACAAGAAGAAATCCGAAGGCTCCGGGAGCTGGTGACCCAGCGTGAGGTCCAGGCCAAACAATTGGAACTGGAGATCAAAAACTTGAAGATGAGCTCAGAATGGTTCTGAGCAAAGGTCTCTGCCCTCCCCTCCCTCAGGGACACCACTCGGCTCCATGGGGAGGTCCAGAGCCAAACCACAAGTCCCTGGAGAACAACCACTATTTCTATATTTTTTATCAGAAAACGAAACTCAGTCGCTGAAAAGATTCCAGTGGGACACGGTGCCGTTTTTCTCTTTGCCTTCTCGAAACAACGGTGTCTGAATTGACTCTGTTTAGATGATACCTTGCCTTCTGTTTAATTCTGTTTGTATGAGTCCACGATGAGCTATATTCCCAAGGAAAAGAACACTGTAGAAAGTTAAAGCTGGAAGGTGAACCTGCCTGTGATTGTCAAACAGTGGCCCACAGAATAGGGGGAAAGCTAAGGAGGGCCGTGCTTCCCACATTCCACCCAGACAGCTCCTTTTCTTTTTTGTTTTATATAATAGCTTCTACGGAATGCATAATTCTGCTACTCAAAAAAATTTTAAGTTTGAAAAGCAGTGATTGGCCCAACTTCCTCATTTACAGGTGGGGAAACTGAGTCCCAGAGAGAAGCAAGTGATGACGGTCCCCAGAGAGTTCATGGAAGATCTGGGCTGAGCTCCTAGACTCCTGGGTCTGTCTTTCTGCTGTTTCTGGTCTGATGCAGGTCTTGGCCCACAGAACAGGAATCCATTGGTTCTGGCCTCAGCCGCACTCTTGACTTGCACAGTGACCTCTGGCAAGTTGTTCCCTTTCCAGTCTCATTTTTCCCATCTGAACAAGGGGGAAGTCTACCATCTGAGACAAGAAATGTTGGCCTTGACCTGAGGAAAACTACATATAGAGTGATGATCTGGGTTTGCTGCAGAGACTCAGAAGACATTGTCAAAGGGGCAGAGGGCATTTAACTTCAGGGAAAGAAGTCAAGGTTCAGCCCAATTTTAGAACACAGATAGGAAGCCAAACCTATCCTTACTTCAACCAGAATCAGCTGCATATGGGTAGACACTCCCTTATGTGGGACACAGACATCAGGGTGGTGCCCACGACCAGTAGTGCCCATGACCACTGATTGCTACCAAAGCCCTCCAGTCACAGAGCCTGCCTCCTCCGGGATGATGCAGGTTGATGTCAGCCCAAGGTAACAGAGGAGGCCCACAGGAGGGAGGGAGCCCTAGCACTGGCAGTATGCCTGCAGAATCCCCTGGCTGCCCGAGAGTGAAGGCTTCTGGAGAAGGACGACTGCACCAGGCAAGGAAGTAGGACCATATTGCTCTGAAGTTCCCTTCCAGTTCGAGAGTTTTTGTGTCCTTCCTTTGCAAATCTGTGTTCTGACCCCTTCTCTGGGATTCAGTGGCCCAGCTAGAGACGGGGAATGTTGGAAGTTAAACATATCCTCCTGACTGAGGAGGTGCAGACAGTCAGTTTTGCCTACTGGAAAGGGCGATCCTAGAGCTAGGATGGGGGCTGCAGGAGGCCACCGGCCTGGTAAGTTTGAACCCAGGCTGTATGTTAGAATCCTGGAGTGTTCAGGAAATACAGATGGCCAGGTCCAACCTCAGAGCCTACCGAAGCTGAATCTTCGGAGTTTAAAATTATGTTTTTATAAGCTCCCAGGTGATTCAGTAATACTGTGCAAGTGTGGACCCGCTGGGCTAGTCCATCTGTATCTATCTACAGAGAAGTTGAAAACAAGGAACACCAGACAGGAGCTGGGGCTCCAACCCTGTCCTCTCAAGTTCTGGCTAGAGACTCCTAAAATCAGGAAGCCTTGTCCCAAGCCCTCCCTCAGGTCTCTGCCCCCTCCCACTCCCACCCCTCCACACGTGCCCGGGCTGCAGCTGCAGTGTGATGGGGGCTCTGTGCTCCTGACTGCCCCCACCCCTGGCCATGGCTGTGTCCCCCTGTCCTACGGCATGCGTAAAACTCCCCAGTTCCTTGTCTTGTCCTCCATTTACTCAGTCACTGGGGCCCGCCAAGCTTGCCAAAGAACAAACCCTGGCATTGTCAGGGAAGCAGAGCTCCAATGGATGGGGTACCTTTCCTGCCTCGTTTGTGGCCAGCACTTCAGTTTACAAAGCCCTCCCACTTCCACTTACTGATATATCCTACTCTAACATGGGTCAGGCAGGCATCATTATCCCCATGTTCAAGAGGGTACAGAGCTGTCCCTTTTCAAGTTTTCCCCACCCCAAAGAAACCCAGACCTCATGCTTAGAAATAAGCTGAAGGCATCCATGAACAAACTTGTTTTGTTTCTTTCTTCTTTTTTCTTTTTTACATCTAGAGTATATTATTTAAATTATTTTACAACAAGGGAGAGGGGTAGGTAATTTTTATCAGATATTTTTTTAAGCCATTTTTTAAAATTATGTTTTTGTTTATGTTCTTTATTGATGAAGTGGAACTTGCCCCTCATTTGCGGGGCCAAGCCCTCTGGCTCAGGGCAAGCAGAATGTGCACTCATGTCCTTACTCCACGCCCTGGAAGCCCCCCGACTGTTGACTCAAGAATTTCCGAGAATGAAGACAGCACTGGGGGTTGAGCTTTGGGGTGTATCCACCTTAGTGCTATAATAATTATTCTTCCTGGAACGAAACTTGAGATTGTATCACAGAGGGAAGCAGGAAGTCAGAAATTGATCTATGCTTTTTAAACCGTGCCTGAAACAGTTTGATTATTTTAATGTTGTTTCTGAAATTCCTTGTACCTTTGTTAAAAAAAAAAAAAAAAGTGAAAATAAATAGATGTGGAATCGTGCAATGGAAAGAATATAACAAAATAATAAACAGCATCTGCCTAGACATTTTAATACACTGAGCTTTCCTTTTTTTGATTTGTTCTACAGTTAATTAAATATCTGTTTGCTCCAGAAACCAGGCTGGGAAACAGGTAAAATAGAATTGGTCCCTGCCTTATGAAGAGTTTTCAGTCATGGTTGGAGGGAAGGGGAAAGCCACAATGGGGGAAGTGCAGGCTGCTCTGGGAGGAGAATCAAGGAAGGCTTCCTGGAGGAGATGATATTTAGGCCAAAACCTGAAAGTTAAACAGGAGTAAGCATGGCAAAGGGAATTGGGGGAAAATGTGTTCTAAGCAGAGAAAACTGCCTGTTCTCCAGCCTGGAAACAAGCAAAGGGTGGAGTATAGGCAGAGCAGGGATTAAAGGTATTAAGAAGCAAGGACCTTGTAGGTCAGAGCTGAGACTTGTTCCCCCAGCTTTATGGAGGTATGATTGACAAATAAAAATCATTTATTTAGGTTGTACATGATTTTTTAAGGTGCGCGTTGTGATGATTTAATATAGAATACATTGAGAAATGATTGCCACAATTGACGCACCCATCACCTCACATAGTTACCATTTTTTGTGTCTGAGGTGAGAACACTTGGGATCTAAACAAATTTTGAGTATACAGTACAGTATTATTAACTATAGTCACCATGCTGTATAGTTACCATATTTATATATCTTGTAACTAAGCTGGTACCCTTTTCCCCTACACCTGCAAACCCTGGCAACCACATTTCTACTCTCTATTGCTGAGTTCGACTTTTTTTTTTAGATTCCACATATAAGTGATACCACACAGTTTTTGTCTTTATCTGGCTTATTTCATTTAGTACAATGTTTCCCAAGCTCATCCATGTCACAAATGGCAGATTTCTTAGGTCTAAGTAACATTTCACTGTATATACATATACCACATTTTTATCCAATCATTGATCGAAGGACACTTAGATTGTTTCTATATCTCGGTTTTCGTGAACACTGCTATAATGAACACAGAAGTGCAGATATCTCTTTGAAATACTGACTTCATATTCTTTGGATGAATACCCAAAAGTGGGTTTGCTAAATCATATGGTAGTTTTATTTTTAATTTTTCAAAGAACCTCCATACTATTTTCCATAATGGCTGTACCAATTTACATTCAGTTGAGGCTGAGACTTTAGCCTGGGGGCAATTGGAGTTTCCAGAGTGTTTCTTACAACTGTTGAAATGGCCATTTTTCCTGGGGAAAGGGCAAGATAAAGAAAATGAAAAGTGTAGGTAATGCATACCATCTAGGAAGACCACAGCCAACTTTGGTCTCATCCATAGGGCTGCATATTTCTGAGCATGACTGGACTAGTGTCACTAAGCAGGGGAAGCCCACCTCCTTTCAGTTAGCCTATTAAGAATGCAAAAATTAATAAAAGGAAAGGTCATTTAAAATGGAGCAAGAAGGCCAGAAGGGGGAGCCCTCATGCACTACTACTCTAAGTCAATTACAGACCTTAACAGGAAGAATGGCCAATTAGCGACAACTGGAAGAGATGCATCTAACAATTGGATACTACCTTACTATTCTAACAGAAGGAAATTTTCCTTCTTGTCCAGTAATTCGGCCAATAAGAAACTACCACCACGCATATATCTCACTTTCCTCCAATGGTCTTTCCTTCGAAACAACCCCTCCCAACTTCCTTTTTTCTATAAAATAACATTCCTCTCCTTTGTTTACTGGACTTTCGTATAGTTTTTGCTGTAGCTTGGTTGTCCTGAATTGCAATTCTGCTATTCTCAAGTAAATCCATTTTGCTGGTAAAATAACTGTCTTTTTTTTTTTAAGGTCTGCAGGAACAAGCCCCCATTTCTGCTGTGGCACCTCTAGGCCAGACACAAAACTGGCTACACCAGGCCTGAACCCTCAGCACTGATTAAAAACTGCAGGAGCACGTGGTGCAGGAGAGCACCCTGTTTATCAAGAGGGTGATGATGCAGCCACTGCCCCCTGACCGCAGTGCACTGCGATCCTTTCATCCCATAGCTGGGCTGGCCCGCCCCGTCCCGCCCCACCGAACTGGTTTCATTTTCCCACCAGAGCTCCTCCTGCACTGCGGCAGCCCCAAACTGGGGGAGTGGGGTTGAATGGCGAATGCAGCCGGGCTGAGCGGAACATCTAAGGGACCTGGCCATGTGGAGTCGGAGAACTCGTATGGCTTGCGCTGTCCGGAGCACGACGACCGCGTGGCCGAGCTCTTCTGTCGCCGCTGCCGGCGCTGCGTGTGCACGCTTTGCCCGGTGCTGGGCGCGCACCGGGGACATCCCGTGGGCCTGGCGTTGGAAGAGGCGGTACACGTGCAGGTGGGGACGCGGGGGGCGCACGGCGGGGAGCGAGCCCGGGAGCAACGGTCGGGGAGGGGCGTGCCTGGGGTCCAACTGCCTGTTCCCGTTAGTACCGGAAACCCCAAAGCAGCTGGCAGTCATCCAGGCGGCCGACCTATTTTTCAGAACCAGAAACTGAGGCCTAAGGAAGGGCCAAGGTGAGCCAAGGCCAGAGTTAACATTCAAAAGAAGCAGGTTTAGGAGTGAAAACTTGGGAAGCCCCTGCTGGTACCCAGATACCCTTGGCCTCGTTCCCTATGGCAGGTCCACCACACTGCTCTTGGGCTGGAAGAAAATCTGCCTTTTAACAAAGATGAAAAGTCCTCCCTATTGGAAAACTGCAGTGTAGCCTGGAAAGCCACACGAACATCTCTGGGTTTCTTTCCTGGAATTCACAGGCGGGGACTGTGGACTGCCTGACTGTGCTGGGAGCAGCCGCAATTGTCATCCCCACCCATCAAGCTCTGCGCCCCCTCCCCCCACATACTTCCATTCCAGCCGCATAATAGCTGGGTGGAAGCTAGAACAGCCATTTTACGGACAGGAGAAGGAAGGCTCTTGAAGCAGAGGCAAGTCTTGAACCCAGTACTCCACCAGACAGACTGCTCCCCATGGAGCCCATTCTCGCCTGGAAGTCCTCACCCTTGCTTAATCGTAATGGTGGCGGTTAATCGTAATGGTGGCGGAGGCTCTTGACTCTTGTTCCAGGCTTGTGGACTTTTTGCCCTGTGGCTCCGGTCACATCCCTCCGCTTCTCTGAGCAAGGCAGGCCCTCCCGTCTCTGACAGACTTTAATTCTACAACTAACACCTCCAAGAAGTCTTCTGTGATTCACCTTTCCCGTGCATGGCACGACTTGACACTATCACGTGTGACACCTTGGAGCTTCAAGGTGATAACAGGCCGTGTGAGGGCCAGTCGAGCAAGTGGAGTCCTGGGTTCAAGACTTGCCTGTGCCTCTAAAGTCTTCCTTTTTTTATCTATAAAATGACTGTAACAATAATAACTCCTCAAAAGGCTGTTCTCCAGAGTTAATAGCAGTGCTATCCAGAGATATTGCTTGTGGGTCTCAAAGGTAAGTCTGCCCACCTAACTATGGGTAACCATTTTGTATCCACACTCACCTATTTGTTTATCTGTCATCCATTAATTCAGCACATACCTCCCTACCATGAGTCAAGGAATAGATCAATTCTTCCTTTACTTGGAGGAATTCTCTAGCTGGTTAGGAGAGAACAGTGAAAATACAGTACGATAAGTATTGTAACTGGGACACTTGAGGCAGTAAGGTAACTATGGGTAACCATTTTGTATCCACACTCACCTATTTGTTTATCTGTCATCCATTAATTCAGCACATACCTCCCTACCATGAGTCAAGGAATAGATCAATTCTTCCTTTACTTGGAGGAATTCTCTAGCTGGTTAGGAGAGAACAGTGAAAATACAGTACGATAAGTATTGTAACTGGGACACTTGAGGCAGTGGTCAGTGGGAGCCACATAGAAGACAGTGTGAACCAGGGACATGAAGTCCATGAAGACTTCCTGGAAGAGGTGCCATTAGAACTGGCCTTGAGGGAAGAGTGGAATTTCACCAAGTACCAAGATAGGAAAAATATCCAGTGACTGGAAGGCACAGGCACAAGGCTCAGCACATAATAGGTGCTCACTTAATATTCAATCATAAGTGAATGCTCTTCACCTATTCTCAGGCTGCTTGCCTTAAGGTCCTATTTGAGGGACAGGAAAAGCAGGTCACGAACAGGATTGTCCTAGAAAAAAAGGGTGAAAGGCATCAAAGCTTGAAGAATCCCTAATGTGGGCCCCTGAGAACCAGAGGGGCCCTAGTTCTAGCTCATCCTTCAGCTTGCCACTTGACTTTGGGCAAGTCAACTCACCTGCCGAGTCTCAGGTACCTCAGCTGAAACACAACACAAAGATGAGAAGAGACGATCCCTGGGGAGCTTTGTTATCTTGAAAATGACATTAAGACTTTCCCCGCTAACTCTTTTACATACAGAAATTCATCCAAGAATGTTTAAAGCAGCTGGCAGCCAAGAACCAGCAGCAAGTTGGCAACAGAAGGCAGATAGAAGATACTGCTGAGCATCTCAAGGCAAGTAGACATTTCTTCCTTGTTCTCATTGGGATGTTCACATTTCTCCTCGGACACAAGGTTCTCCCCAATATGGAGCCAAAGAAAAATAAAACCACCTTCAAAGGGGCAGATCAAATTTAGTGGGGTCGAGGGCTTCTACAATTTGGGGGGCCCTTTTTGAGCAATAGAACACAAAATTAGGTACAAGACCATGAAGGGGTCGTGCTAGTGAGGGGCCTAAGGCTACGGTTTTATTAGCTTTGTGGTGAGTCTGCCTCTGTCCAGAGCCCTAGCCTTGCCCGGTAACAACTCACAAAATGGAGGAACAGCCTTTTCTCCCGCCATCCCCAAGGCCATTCTCTTGAAGGAACTAGTCCTTCATCCCCGCACACCTTACACAAAGCAAAACTCAGCTTAAGGAACATAAAATAGCCTTTAGGTTTCACTGCTATGGTGAAAGAAAGTAAATAAGGTATAAATATATTCCATAAATATTTTCTTTCTTCAGGCTTATCCTTTCATCACGATGTTTATTTAAATGGATTATTTTGTGGGTTTTAAATGGGAAGTCGGGCTGATGTCATGAGCTGCCATGTTGGGAAATGACGTTCAGTCTCTAGGGGCCTTTTTATGTGAACTCGGCCATTCCCTTCTCAATCTCAGCACCCCCTCCTCAAAGTGAGGCCTGGGGCGGGATGCCCTCCCCGGGCCTGTCCTGCTGAGAGCTCTGTGAACCCCTGACTGACCACCACCAGTCAGGCATGGAGACTGGCCTTGACCATAGGAGAACCTGGCACCCAGGTCTCCCTGAGGCCAGGCCCACAGCAAAGTGCAGATGCAGAGGCCCATGCCAGGCCACGGAACTGGCTCCATGTTTGCCCAACATCACTATCTGTAAGGTGACTACAGGCTCCAGTTCGCTGGGGACAGTTGTGGTTTATACCTGGCTTAATTATTAATAGTGTCCCCCATGTCTTCAAAAGCAGGACTCCAATCCCAGAGAGATAAATCAATTGAAAGGGATTTGGGAACTGAAAGTTGGCACACCTGAAGGGATGGGGGAGGTGCTTTGGGCTGTTCAGCCAGAACAAGACTGGAGCACAAGTTCAATGTCTGCAAATCTCTGAGCAGATACAGAGTTAGGACCCATGTAGAGAGTCTAAGGGGGCAGGTTTCAGCTTAATCTAAGGTATTATTTTCTTCTTTTACCTCTCCAACCTTCAAACTTTTATTTTGAAATAATTATGGATTCACAGGAAGGTACACAGAGATGTTTTGTGTACCTTTCACCTAGTATTCTCCTAAAGTTACACCTTACCTAACTATGGTACAATTTCAAAACCAGAAAATTGAATGTGTGTATAAATTCTGTGTCAACTGATCATGTGTGTAGCTTTAAGTAATCACCACTGTGATCAAAATACAGAACTGGTCCATCACCACCAAGAGCTACCTCATGCTACACCTTAATAGTCACCCCCACCCCTACCCCCAACAATCCCTAACTCCTGGCAGTCATTAATTTATTCTTTATCTTTATAATTAGAGCATTTGAGAACGTCATAAAAATGGAATCATATAGTACATGACCTGAGACTTTTGTCACTCAACATAATGCCCTTGAGATCCATCCAAGTTGTTGTGCATGTCAATAGTTCATTTCTTTGTATTGCTGAATAACATTCCATCAATCCAGTAGCATGGATGGATATACCACATTTTTTAACCATTCACCTCTTCTGGGACATTTGAGTTGTTTCCGGTTTGGGGCTATTAACAAATGAAGCTACTTTGAACAATTGTATACAGGTTCTTGCGTGGACATAAATTTTCATTTCTCTGGGATAAATGCTGAGGGCTAGTGCTGGGTTCTCTGTTACTTATATGTTGAGTTTTTTAAGAAACTGATAAATTATTTTCCAGAGCGGCTGTGCTGTTTTATATTTACACCAGTAATGTATGAGAAATCCACTTTCTCTGCATTCTTGTCAACACTTAGTATTTTCATAAATTTGTAGTTTAGCCATTCTGATAGGTGTGTAGTGATAGCTCATAGGGTCTTCATTTGCATTGTGGCTAGTGATGTTGACATCTTTTCATGTGCATATTTGCCATCTGTATATCTTTTTTGGTGAAAGATCTCCTTATATCTTTTACCATTTCCAGATTCAGTTGTTTCTTTACTGTTGAGTTTTGAGAGTTGTTTGTATATTCTAGATAAGAGTCCTTTGTCAGATGTAGTTTACTAATATTTTCTCCCAGACTCTGTAGCCTTCTCTTTCCATAGTCTTAACAACCTTTTGCAGAGTGAACGTTTTTAATTTTGATGAAATACAGTTTATCAATTTGTTCTTTTATGTATTATGCTCTTGGCATCATGTCTAAGACCTCTGCCAAGCTCTAAGATTTCCTCCTTTGTTTTTTTTTTTTCTCAGAGTTTTGTAATTTTGCGTTTTACATTTAATTCCATGGTTCATTTCGAGTTAATTTTTGTGTAAGGTATGAGATTTAGCTCGGGGTTCTTTTTTTTCTAATGGATATCCAATTACTCCGACACCATTTCTCAAAAGACTGTGCTTTCTCCATTGAATTGCTTTTGTCAAAAATCAATTGACTATACTTGTGTGGGGATATGTCTGGGTTCTCTATTCTGTTCCATTGATCCATGAGTCTATCCTTCTACCAATACCACACAGTCTTGATTACTGTAGTTGAGAATAAGTTTTGAAATAATTGCTGCCTCCACTTTATTCTTCTTTTTCAAAATTATTTTAGCTGTTATAATTCCTTTGTCTTTTCACTTAAATTTTAGAATAATCTTGTTATATATACAAAAAGTAGACTTTGTTGGGATTTTGATAGAAATTGTGTTAAACCTGTTTATCAAATTGGAAAGAATTGACATCGTTGCTAGGTTATCTTCCAGTCCATGAACATGATATAGCTCTTCGTTCATTTAGATCTTTATTTTCTTTCATCAGCATTTTGTGATTTTTCAGCTTATAAATCCTGAACATGTTTTATTAGACTTACACCTAAGTGGCCCTCAAGGTATTAACAAAAATGTAATTAGTGGTCAGCATTTTAAAGCTGAGAGTTATTTTATTTATATAAAAATTTAGCTGTAGAAAAGTAGGAAGATGTGGCTACCTTAGGCCTACATTCTCACATGATTACTATCATGAGAAGAGTACATGTTCCCCAGATGTCCTGCCTGACCACTGTCCTCACTATGTTACCAGCCTGTTTCCTGTGGGCATTTACATTTCTGGTCAAGAAGCAGATTTCTTAAAATTCAGCCATAATTCTACCACTTTAGGCCAACCATTACTCACATTTTGAGATTCTTTTTTCTGTACATGTATGTGCTTTTATATAGTTTGAGACATGTTCTACATAGAATTCTAGTATAGAATTCCCCATTCTGGAGGTGAGGCAATGTTGTTTGTTTTTTGTGTGTGTGACTTGCCATGTGAATCATCATCTTGCCTTTAGTAGGTATTTTCCGTGACGTTCCACATGCCCTGGGTTGTGAAAGTGCCCCTCAGAGCACTGTGGCATGAGCAACCACGGGGGACTGTTTGATTTTCAGTAGTTCCAGACTGGTTGCCATGTGAATTTTTTTAGTTTTGAGGTTCCATGAATTTTGGCTCCAGGCATGTTGTTTGGTTTGTTTGTTTTGCTAGTGACTCTCTTTTCGTCCATGACCCTGGATGGATGACAAGATTCCTTGGCCCTTCCCCGGGAGAGTAGAAAGAGCTTTCTGGTGCCTAGTTCATGGATGGAGCAGCTTTCTGTGACTCTCGCTTGATGCAGGTGGCCCCCTTCCCACTCTCAGCCGATATGAGGCCAGACAAAGGGAGGAGGTGATATTAGCAGAGTGCATGGTCCAGGTCCACCTAGGCAGGAGCTAGAACCAGAGCAGTCCTGTCCTGTGGGAGCAAGAGAGTGGAAGGGACTAGAGGATGCAGCCATTCACGGAGACACTGGTGGGAGACACATACCCTGGTTGTTCCCTTCCCCTCACCCTCTGACCTCCCTCTAGTTCCTCCTCGCATTGACCACACTCAGCCTGAAGGAGGATCCCTGCCTGCAGGAGTCAGTCCCTTCTCCCTACAGAGCAGAGCTGGGGAAAGACAGGAAATGGGCCTGAGGCACATAGGCCTACACTGGCGCCCTGGGGAGTATATAAACATGCTTGGTTCCTGGCCCTGTGCCATTCTCTGTGACCCACCAGAGCTGTAAGGACTGAACCACAGCATGGGATCGGGCACCAGCGGGATCAGCCTTTGCTAGACTGAGACTAGGAAGACAAGGACTCAGCCAGGCCTTGCTGTTGACCCTGACAATGCCACTGGTCTCTGTCATCCTGCTGGGCATGGCCATTCTTCTGCCTCCTCCTGGAGGCCACTGCCACCTTTCAGAGAGCATGGATATCATAGCTAATGTGGCCTGGGCAGGGTTGGAGCGTGCACCCCTTCCCTGGTGGGATGCCCCTGAGAGGCACCCAAAGCAGGATTGTCCGAAGTCATACAGAGTTTTCAGCAAAACAGCACTTTCCATTTTCCTCATAGGCTTCTCACCCTCCAAGGGACCAGATGGGCCTCCAAGGGCCTTGGCAGAGCGGGAGTCACATAGCTGCCTGCACTCCACATGTAAAATCCCTCACCCTCCCATGCCCAGGGCTTCATCTCTGCTCAAGTTCCGTCTCTCCTAGGACCTTCCTCATCTAGATTGTGTCAGGCCCTTATCCAGCCTCAGCCCCGTCCAGCATGTCCAAACCCCAGTCCAGTTCATTCTGGGATGCAGTTTCACTTTGAACCAATACAGCCTAAACCAGACAGCATATTTCCTTGCTTTGTTGCCAGAATTCTCTCTCTCCCCCTCTTTTGTTGGTTATTTTTATTTTTTAACCGTATTGCACAATCAGCTTCATATGTTTACACCTTAAGTTTTCTTGTGGATGTTGTCAAACAGTTATAACAATGTGTAGTGCCATTAAGCTTATTTTGTATATTCTTCTTTACAGAGTGGATCTGTAGAGACTGTTTGGAACATAGCTTGGTCGGGAGGAGATATTGGGTAGTGGCTCTCTTGGTCTCTACAGAGAGGTCCTCTATTTACATACGCTACCTCCAAAATGTGTTCATAAATGAAGGGTTTGGGACACATTTTTCTTTCCTTCGTTTGGCCATTCAACAAAGATATTTTGAGTCCAGGCTCACTGACCCATAGAAACCATGTGGCTAATATAGACTAATTCCCAGACTAGCCCAAAGCTGATTTAACCTACATGGCATGTAGCAGTATAAGCTAGCCTCAGAACCTAACCACTGCCTAGAACATTATATAGGAAACACAGATTTGGGGAAGCCGTCCCTTAGATCCTGCTGCACCACACGTTCTTGCCCCACTAAGGAGAGAACATGGCATCACAGGGGAGCCTGCCCATCCCATGCCTGTCCAGACGCCAGGCAGCAATCTCCGTGTGGGCCATACAGATGCTTGGGCTGAGGAAAGAGGCTGGCCTATGTTTGGGCTGGCCTATGTTTGTTTGTTTGTTTTTTAAATGATTTTCTGTTTTATTTTTTCATCGCACTAGTAATACATGAACATATGCTCATTTTTAAAAATTTAAACAATACTATATTAGAACATAGTAAAGACTGTAGAAAATGCTAAGTGAGAGTTACCCTTCGCCATCCCCTCATCCCACATTTCTTCCCAAATATGACAACTTAACAGACATTGTAAATGCACTTGCAGACATACAGATTCACATGTTTATACGCTATGGTTTTTGTTTTGTCATCTGTTATGTAATGCGATCATTCTACTGTATGTATTATTCTGCAACTTGCTCTTTTTCACATGGTTTCTTAGAGAATCTCCATGACAGGACATACACTACATTCTTTTGGTGTATGTTGTAAAATATACATAACATAAGTTACCATTTTAACCATTTTTAACTGTACGATTCAGTGGCGTTAATTACATTCATAGTGTTGTACAACTATTACAACTGTTTCCAAAATGTTTTCATTACCCTAAACATAAACTCTGTAACCGTTAAGAAGTTGCTTCCCATTCCCCTCTCGCCAGCCCCTAGTAACCTGTAATCCACTTTCCACCTCTGCAAATTTGCCTATTCTAGACATTTCATATAAGCAGAACCACACAACATTTGTCCTTTTGTGTCTGGCTTATTTTATTTAGCATAATGTCTTCAAGGTTCATCCATATTGTAGCATGTATCAGAATACTGCATTCGTTTTAATCACTATATATTATCTCATTAGGTGAATGCAGCATAATTTATACAATAAACACATATTTCCCATACTGAAAATTTTGCCCAACTTTTCTCTATCACCAACAATGCTGTAGTGAGCATCTTGGCACACATATCTTTGTGTACATGTGAAAACATTTTCCAGGATCAATTCCTGTAAGAAAAACTGCTGCCTCAAAGAATTTACACATTAAAAATTTTAATACTATCATCATCTAACAATGCAGTACCAACAGACACTACCACCTGCCCATCCCACACACCCTTACAGATTCCGATATTATTCATCAGTTAAAATTCATCCAGTCTGATGGCCAGAAAATACTTCCTGATTACACTGCTCACTTCCTTGATTGGGAGGCTGAGCTTCATATATCTGATGGCACTTGCATATCTTTGGCCCGTTTTAAAATTGAATGATTTCTTTTTTCTTACTATGCGTTATAGATAATTAACCTATGTAGTTTGTTACCCATCATGTGGCATGACTCTATGTTTGCTATCTGAGTTTTGGGTTCCTCTTACGGAGTGAACAGTTCACTCTTAATAATTTCTTAATAATTTGAAATGACACCATTTCTCCTCCCAAATTTAAAAAAATAATTTAAATAAATTTCACTCTAATAGATTTTTTTTTCATGTATAGTGCTTTGATCAGTTTGGAATTTCTTTTTTTGTTGTTTGTTCACCTTTTATTGTGGAAAACCTCAAACATACACATGTATTTAGGAACAAATTCCAGACATTTCATTTCATCTGTAAAAGTTTCAGTATATTATCTCTACAACATAAGACCTTGTTTTTAAAACTACATAACCATAGTATCATCATCCCACCTATGAAAATAATAGTTCTTTAATATCATCAAATCCAATCAATGGTCACATTTCCAATTATCTTATAAATGTCACATTTTATTTGTTTGAATTAGGAATGAAATAAAGTGTTCAAAATCCATTTGTTTGATGTATTTCTTTTTTTTTTTAATTTTCAGTTTTTTATTCAGGTGTGAAAGAAGCAGTCTCTTGATATTTTCGTATGTATTCACAAAGCCTGATATCAAACATTGTTCTGCAGACTACTAGGGAATATTCTGCTGTTGCAGGGTGATGTCTTGGATTTCTACCTACTTGTATGGCTTGTTCATCTGGATCCCAGGCGATTTTTCCTTGCTGCTGCTCCTTGTTTCCATCACAACTTTGATTTGGTCGCCAGAGGGATGAACAGAGCCTCTATCATCTGCGCCATTTTTTTTCCTCCTTGATATATTTCTTGAGTTGATGATTCACATGTTCCTCTGTCTTCTATATGTCCTCTAAATTGGATCTTTTATTTAGATCTAGAGACTTGATCAGATTCAGCTTCATATTTGTTGGCAAGACTACTTCGTAGGTGGGTTTCTGTCTTAATTTATTTTTATATATGGTGTAAGGATCTAACTTAAAAATTTTTTTCGAATACATGGTTAATTGCATGTTGTACCAATACCATTTATTGAACAGTTCACTCTGTTTTCTTAATAATTTGAAATGACACCATTATTATACACATACATACATATATATATTTTATATATTCTAATTTCTGATCATTTTTATACCATCAACTTTCTCACTAGCTAACACTTAGAATATATGCAATATAAATTTATTGAGTTGAATTAAAAAATCAAGTGAGCAAGCATACTTCATTATAAAGTATAGTACAAAATAGTTTAGCCCAAGAAAATAACTTTCGATATAGAATTAGAATATCTTACATTTTTCATATCTGAATTCAGTATAATTTTCAACAAATTCTGTGATCCAGAAAAGTTTAAAAATCAGTCATGATTATGTATATGTGCATATATCTATACATGTATATGCTTGTATGTACATATTACATACATATATATGTACATATATATATATATTATATATATACATATTCTTTTCTAAACTCTGTTCTTGATTATTTTGTCTATGCCTAAGCTACATGGTTTAAACTCCTGTAGCATTATGGTTTGTTTTGCTATCTAATAAGGTAGCTTGTCCTTCACTGATCTTTTTAAAGCAATTTTTGGCTTTTTTTGTGCTTATTGTCCCCCATGATAATTTAATATTTGTTTAATCTGCATGTTAAGACTTTTGTTGGAGCTATATCCAATTCACAGACTAATTTGGTAACAAATAGCATCTTTATAGTAATGGATCTTCCCAGCCGAGGTTATGGTTTTTTCTTCCACACATTCAGATTTTTTTTTTTTAATGTCTTTCAGTACAGTTTTATACTTTATATTTTCTTCATCTTGTTTCTACAGTTCTTGTTAGGTTTATTTTTAGATTTTTTTTTATTTTTTTCACTATTTTAAAAGGGATTTTTATTTCTCCATGCATTTTCTAACTGATTATGGCTGGTATTAAGGAAAGTTTGAGTTTTATAAGTTGATGTTGTACCTGACTGGCCGTCTTGCTTTTAGATGTATAATAGCTTTTTCATGTTGATTATTCTACATTTCCTGGTTGGCACTCATATAACCTACAACAGGTTTTCTTTTTAGGCTCATGCAGAGTCAAGTAAAACCTGGCTGACGGAGAAATTCAGTGAACTCAGATTACTGCTTGATGAAGAGGAAGTGATGGCCAAGAAATTCATTGATAAACACATGCAGCTTACCCTCCAGGTGTACAGCGAGCAAATCAAGTCTTGTGGGGAACAAATCGACCTCTTGAACAGTCTCTCCAACAGAGTCTGGAGTATCAGCCAGGAGCCCAGTCCTATACAACTGCTACAGGTAATGCTAGGTTTCTACCCTCATGGCTGCCACCGGCCTCCCACATTTCATCTCGGTTTCTGTGGCATTGAACCACAGAATTTACACACTGAGTAAATACATAGAGAATTGTCCTTTCAGCACATAGACTTTCTTGGCACAAGTGGTTAGAAAATATACATTGTTAGGAAGATAATATATATCTTAGATTAATGAAATAACATTTACAGCCACCATTTGTAAGGGCCTCTGTGTTCCAAGCACTTTATGTATCTTATCTATAATATTTACTAGAACTCTGCAAAGTAGAATTCTTACCCCATTTTACTAATGAGTAATTGAGGCTCAGGGAGGTGAAGTGACTTTTCTGAGATCACATAGCCGGTAGGTGGCAGGCAGCCCTGGGATCAGAGCCCAGGTCTGTCTGACTCTAAAGCCACAGGCATCATTGCCTGGCCCTCTACCTAGATAGTCTTCAATGAGACACCCCTCCTGGAAAGGCAAGTGTCCTGTCAGCTACTGAGCAGACCTCAAGAGCTGAGTTACAGTTGGTTCATGGTGCTTCTTGGCCACTGGGTTCTGTTGGAAACTATTACCTTATACTGAAGAAGAGTCTAAGAAATAGCCCCTGTGATGTTCATGCTACACTCAGTGAAAGCATGTGTTGAGGGTGGTGTTCCTGTCTTCAGAGAACTGTGGGAGAAACTCCTCTCTCCTGTCAGTGCTCCTGTGCAGTCACCTGTGCACCTGGATTGCTTTCCGCTCATGCCACTCTTCCTGTTTCCTTCTTTTCCATGGCTTCTGGGAAGCTTAGAGCCAAATATGTTTCAAATAGCTCAGCTAAGACTTCGTGGCATACATTTTATGCCTCATCTCACTCCGGCTTCCAGCTTACATTCTTATCCTGGTTTCCTCTTTGCTTCACTCTTCTCACTGTAAAGGAAAATCTTGCAGTATTGGATAACCTTTGTAAGATGCTTTAAAGGCTTGTGGGACAAGGCAAGTACAACTAAATAAAGGTGGCACTGAGTCTAACCACAGATTAGCACAGGCTCTGGCTGGAAAATAAGACAAATCAGTCAATATAAAACCAGTCAAGCCTGTCCCTGATGGTTATTTCCACTCTGTGCCTTTGTGTGACCTTAGTCAACTTAGCCTGGGTCTCATGTGTATTTACAACACAGCTCAAGCGAGCTAGCAAAGTATGTCCCAGAAATATCCAATTCTGTATAGAAAATCAGAGAAGACTTCTAGAAGGACGTGATAGTAGAGCTGAATTGGGAGTATGAGGAGGAGCTCCCTGGGTGTATACAGAGGGACAAAGCCATATGCATGTGAGAGATGGCAGGCTGGAGAACCACTGGGGTTCACCCTGACTGGACATGGGGCAGGGGTACAAGAGCGGGGCAGTTGGGAGATGCAGCTAGACAAGGAGGCCAGGGTTAGTTCATGAAGGGCCTTATGTGCTTGGCCATGGAGTTTAGACTTTGTGCTATAAAGAGATGGAAGCAAGGGAAGTGTTTTGAACTGAGGAATGACATGGTCAGGTTAATGCTTTAGAAAGGCCGCTTTGGTAATAGGTTGAAAGACAGGGTTGGCAAGCTAGGACTGGAGGCTAGAAGGGAAGTTAGGAGGAGGCCACAATGTCCAGAAAAGAGGTCATGGCAGGCTAGACCAGTGAAGGGGCAGACAGAAGGGGAGAAGAAGGCAGGTTTAAGAGGTGATTGGTGAATGAAAGTGGGAGAATCCAAGATGACACCTGGTTTCTGGCTTTAGATATGGGTGGCTAGGGAACTGTTCTCTGAGTCTGCAAAGGCAAGAAGCAAATGTGCTCAGTTTCATTCATTCACTTATTGTAACCTAAATGTTTATCGAGAATCTAATATGTGTCAGACCCTGTGCTAGATGCTGGAGTTTGGGGTTACCAGGTGATGGCATTTGTGCTTCATCCCACTCCCCAGTACTATCCTACCCATCTGCCCTCTGGGCCACCTTCCTGCCACCCCAGAGCTGCTCCCTGCCTTTCCTGCTAGTGCTCTGACTCCCAGGCCAGCTCTACTCTAGCCTTCTGGGTGTGACCTTAGCCCTGGTTCCCCACAAATTATATTTTTCCCCACCAAAATGAGGATGGACTCTAGACCTGTAGCTTCCTAGGCTGGATGGGGCTTGGGTATCATTCCACAGCCCCCCTCCCAAGGTTCAGCATCCAACCTGGTGAGCCTGCCTCTGCCCGACAGCTGAGTGCCATCCATCTGCCCATCCTGTCTTGGGCAGCACTGCTCACGATCCAGGGCCTGCTCACCTAAGGCAGTCTGCTGTCTTCTAACTCATTGCCCAGGACAGCTCTTCAGAAAGTGCAGACAGCATTCTTAGCGTCAAACCAGAGAATCCACTCTAACTTTTAAGCAAGAAATGAGTTTATGAAAGAGTATTGGGCAGCTCACAGGATCTCCAGGAGGGCCAGGAAGTCAGGATGGAGAGGAGGCAGCAGGAGGGAAGTCCAGGCCACAGCACAGGTGTTCCCCAGTGTAGACACCACCACCACTCTGCTCGGCAAGACATTGCAGCTCACACTGCGGACTCAGGGTGCCAGCCCCCAGAGCCTCCGCCACAGCTGTCCCCAAGAGTTACACACTGGTGTCAGTACTTCAGCCTCATTTCCACATCCAGGTCTTGGTTTGGAGGTGCCTTGTCACATGCCTGCCCCATGGGTGTGAAGGGGGCTGAGAGTACTAGCTTCTATGTAGCAAAGCCACACTTAACACATGAAGGGTATGTAAAACGTGCTGTCCACACAGCAAACGGGACAAGTTCCTACTGTGGTGGCCATAACCCCTCAGGCAGCATTTCCGCTAAACTTCCAGGGACTCCTACTCCAGGAAAACTGGTACCTCATGCTTTTTGCCCCCTATACTTCAGGCAGACCCCTGTCACATTGTCAAGCTTCAGGGCCCCTTAGGAGATGCTGAGCAGCTTAAAGGCGAGGCAGTCCACCTGCCTCCTTCTGCCACCAGTGCTAAAGCCATCACAGCGAAGACCTCAGTGAACATGGAAGGCAAGAAGGGGGGAATAGGGCCAGCATTAAAACCCAAATGACACATCTCTTCCGCCCTGGGGCCTTCTTTGTGGTCTCTCCAGGACCCCACTCCTGGGTACGCAGCCTGGGCTGATCACAGGTGCCAGGGCACGGTGGGGTAGGGCCCATGCTTGCTGGCCTGGGTTTGTTCCTAGTGCTGAGGAGGAGCCACGCTGTCCCCCATGTGCCTTTACAGGAGTTCACAGCCACTGAGCGGGAGCTGAAGCAGCAGATGAGCCGAGAGGAGCTATGCCACCCTGTGCCCCAATCATTTGAGCCCGTCAAGAGCTTCTTCAAGGGCCTCGTGGAAGCCATGCGGAGAATGTTACAGATGCCACTGGACGTTCGCCTGAAGGAAAGTAAGTCACCACGAGACCAACTTTGTGTCCCTTCCCTAGTGTCCTTTAACCCAGGAACAACTGAGAAGAGTGCCACGTGAATCATGTCTCTCCCACACAGAGGCCCCTTGGTTGTGCGGTCAAAGGCCCCTGGGTTGGGCCCAGCCCACCCTTCTGATGTCACCTCCTACCTCTCCTGAAACTGTGTCCTGCCATGCTTCTCTGCTCTGCCCCTCAGTTGCTCCTAGGATTCTGCCACACCTCCACATTGCTGCTCTGGGGTCCCCACTGAAATGGCCAGCTCCCCCTCTTCTTCCACTGCCTGGTCAAAGCCCACTGTCCCTGTTGGGCCAGCAAACCTGTGCTCAGCTGGGACACCTTTCCACACCACCTTGGGCTCACTCCCTCTCCTGGCCATCTTCCCCTCTGCCCTTCCCCTCCAATATCTGCCCCATCTCCTGCCTGGGGGTGTTCGTGAACTGGATTCATGGACCCTGTCCCTGACTCTTACAAATGCCTGAAGGTCAAGAACCATTTTGGGTCCAGCTCTGAGGTTCCCGCAGGGCCTGACGCAAAGAAGGTATCAGAAATATCTGTTCATTCATTCATTCATTCATTCATTCATTCGTCTCTGCTATTATGATTCATTCAGAACATTTATGGAGTCTCTATTATGTGCCAGGCATAGCTTCTGCCTTTATGGTGCTCAGTCTTTTCGGGGAGAGACAGACAACAAACAAATATATGTCAGTGATAAGAGCTCTGAAGAAAAATAAAGCAGGGTAAGGAGACTAGAGGGTGACGCAGGGGAGGAGCTATCTTATATGTGGAATTGGGGAAGGCCTCTCTGAGAAGGGGATGTGCGAACTGACTTGAAGGAAGCCTTCTGCAGGCTCTGCAGACCTGAGGGGCCGGAGAGCTGAGTGGTCATGTGCACAATGTGGAGCCAGACTGCTGGGGGCCCTATCCCATGTCCACCACTTCCTAACCCTGCCATCTCGGGCAAGGCACCTAGCTTTTCTATGCCTCTCTCTCCAAACCCATAACATGGAGATGATAATACAGTGCCCCCTCACAGGGTTGTTGTAAGGATTAAATGAGTTCTTATCTGCCAAGTACTTAGAATGGTGCTCAAGCATAATAAGCACTATGTAAGTGTTAGCTATTATTGTTGCTGCTGTTATATCTGGGGGAAACGTCTCCTAGTTAGGAGGAAAAGCATGTGCCAAGGGCCCAAAGTGAAGGAAGAACCTTGGCACAGAAGGGGCCAGAGTGACTGGAGCACAGCCGGGGAGGGGAGCGTGGCGGGAGATGCGGTGGAGGAAGTTGGGAGCTTCCTTCTCAGACCGGAGCTGGCAGGGCAGTGCCCGCCCTGAAGTTCAGGAGACCAGGAAGAAAGGGATGGGAGGAAGCAAAGCAGAAATACTTCAAGCACCCACTGAGCACCTTCTGGGAAACGGAGAGAGGTGAGGCCAGGCCCTGTCTGCAGAGCTAGCTGATTTCATGAGGTAACAAAAGGAGACACAGCCAGGGGCCAAGAAAGGTCAGAGGAAGAAGAGAGTGATTCTGATGGCAAAAAATAATTACATCTTCTTGAAATGTAATTATTTTTTAAAAAATCAAATTAGAATTGTAGCAGTCAATATATCTCCATTAAAAAAAAAATAGTCAAATAAAGAATAAAAAAGAACCTTAGCAGTCGGCCCCAGGAAGCTTTGGGCTTGTGGGTATCCAGTGAATGGGCATCGAAGCCTCCCCGCACCGCCCTTGGCAAGAAGATACTCAGATGGACCCGAAATGCACTTCACTCACATTTACATTCTCAGTGGTCCATTCCCAAAGAACTGTGGTGCCTGCTGAGTGCCTGATGACAGCTAACACTTGCTCTGTGCCAGGCATTGTTCTAAGCACTTTACAGAAATGCACCTAGCAACTCCTTCCCACCACCCTGTGTGGTATGTACCTTCGTGATCCCTATTTTACAGATGAGGGAGCGGAGGCTCAGAGAGATTAACTGCCGTGCCCTAGGTCATACATCTGGTAGAGATAGAGACAGAATTCAAACAGACTCTGGTCCTATGGTCGGTTTTGTCATCCCCTGGAGTCTGCTTTTTTCCAGGCCATCCCCCTCACCCATCCCCGATGAGGCTATCATTCTTGCTATCAGAGGTAATATGAGAGGTGCTGAGTCCCAGTCAGGACCCTAGGAGATGGGGGTCTTGCAGCACCACAGCACCACTGCCCTTCCAGGGCTCAGCCCCATTTGTTCCACAGACATTGCAGGTTCAATAGGCCAAAATGGAACCCAGCATTCCCCACCCCACCCGCTACTTCCCCAATCTGCTGCTGCTTGTCTCTGATCTGGTCTTCATTCCCCACTCCAGTAAACAGGTAAACCCTGGCACCTCTGCCACTGCGGTTTTTCCCGAGTCCAGCTCCTTTTCTACCCTTGCTGTCCCAGTTCAAGCCTGAGCCTCCCAACAGGGCCTCTGCCACCACTCTCACCATGCCCATCCATTCCTCACCAGAGCCAGCTTTGGAAATCCTTCTGTTCATGTCTATGCTACCTCAAGACACCTTTCATGGCTCCCCATAGCTGACATGCCACTCCAAGCACCTGCCCTTAATGTCTTTGCTTATGCTGTACCCTCTTGTCGGGAAAGGCTCCCATCCTTCCTTTTTCTTGATGTCCAAATCTTCCCACTCCTTTAGGTGTCAGCTGAGGTGATTCCCCCTCCATGAAGCCTTCCCTGAGCCCTTACACCTTCTCCGTGATTGAGAAGGTGAAGGGTGGTAGTTCAAGTGAGCCTGTTTCTCACCCCATTACTTGATTGACTGAGCTGTTAAAGATGGGACCACGGCTTGGGTTTCCCCCGAACGCCCTCTCACCTGAATGAGACATCACCGTGACCTTTCTAAAGACTCAACTTTAATTTCTTGTTTCCCATCTTTATCTTGGAATTTGCATTTCTGCCATCCTTGACTGTTAAATACATAGTTGATTCTCAGGATGGTCCTGGAGCCTGCCATCTCCTCCCTGTGTTCAAGGCTCACTCACACTGACCTGCCATTGCTGAATTACCTTCCAACACTGAAAAGTGCATTTCTTTTTAGATTTCAGCATTGTCTTGGAGTTTTCCTGTGACTGTGAATTTGCATTTCCTACCTTAATTTGCATGTGATTCCTGGGGAGAATCTCTAGTTTTGTAATATTTTTAGTATGTTTTATAATTTGTGCTGCTTGCATGAGCGCCACACACTCATTTCTCACAATTCATTACAGACATGAACTGCCAGCTCTCCAGCTCTTCCAGCACCAAGCTGGATTTCTTGTTGAAAACAAGCTTCTCACCAGAGCGATCACTCTTCTTAAAATGTAAGACCCCCAGAGTGCAGAGGTTCGGGTGTGTGGGCGAGTGGGGAGATATGGAGGCCCCCCTTTTTTCCTAAGAGACTCAACTTGTTTTTTAACGTTTATTACAGTTTTTAAATACAGAAATAATATATGTTCATTTTAGAAAAATAAGAAAACAAAGGAAAGCAAAATTTTATAAAAGACAATCACTCACGAATCATTGGAGAGCTTTGGAAATTCTTCTACTCATGTCTATACCCTAGTACTAATAGATAACTACTGTTATTTGCCCTTTTAGCTTTCTTTGGCATATCTATATATAATGTATATATTTTTTACAAACATGGTGTCCTACTATACATACCGTTTTGTAATATTTTCATTTACTGATATATTGTGAACATCTTTGTTCCCTTAAAAAATCACACAGGTAATACATGCTTCTTGTAAAAATTAGTAATTACAGATAGACAAAAAGAAAATAATTGCCTCCTCCAGAGATATATGCTGTTAATTTTTTGACATATATTCTTTTGGACGTTTTAAAGGCATATATAGTTGTACAGATTTTTTTTTAAAGGATCATATTATAGATATTCTTTTGTAAGTTTTTTAATTTAATAGTATGAACAGTTTTTTACTTCAATAAATATAAATAATATTATTTTTTAAAAAGATGTACAATATTCTATTGAATGACTATGCCATATTTAGCCAATCTCATAATGTTGGACATTTAAGCTGCTTTACATTTTCCTTTCTATAAATGATGCTGTAATAACCATCTATTCTTGGACAGAAAATCCCAAATCTCAAATAATCTACAGATAAATTAGAAATACTAAGTGAATTTAGAACAGCTGCTGTAGTGTCAGCATCCAAAAATCAATCGTATTGCTATATATTGGCAATAAACAATTAGAAAATAAAATTTTTAAAAGTTATTTTCAGTAACACTTTTTAAAAACCAGGAATAAATCTAACAAAAGATGTATAAAGCCTCTCTACAGAAAATTCCAAAACATTACTGAGAAAACTGGCAGTATCCACTAAAATTTAACATCCACATACCCTACGGTCTAGACTTTTTTTGTTAAACTACATATGTGGTATAAAATCAATGAGAACTATTATTGAGAGTTTAATCTCTACCACCCTTCTCGAGGGCATTGGCAGTGTTTACTAAAGGCCTTAAAAACAATCATCCCTGTTGACTCAGCAATTCTTTTAGGAATATGTCCTAAAGAAATAATCAGATGCATAAAGATATAATCATATTAGTGTTCGCAAAATCTTTTCAAAAAGCCTAAATATTTTTTTAAAGTGGGGGGCGGGAGGGTTAGATTTAATTATAATACATCCATACATCAAAATCTTAGAGTCGCCATTAAAATGCTATTAGAATATTATTTGATGTGGTAAAATGTTCATAACACATCAATAAATTTTTTAAAAGAGATTATTCAAGAGCATGTATGGTATGATACCAATGTTAAGGAAAGCTGTAAGCAGCAAGTAAAGAAAAAAAATTAAAAGAATATACATCTATGTTAACAGTAAATGGGATTTCAAAATTTTTTAGAAATGGGCAAATTCCATGGTTCAAAATTCAAATGGTACAAGTGTACAATAAAATTTTCTCTCCTCCTCACGTTCCCCAGCCACCTCTCCTGGGTTAAAAGAGTAGGTTTCCATTTCTCCGTGGGTGATTTCAGAATTTTCCCATTTTCTGTCGTGAAAGAGGGCTGGCAGGTGCTAAATAGGGTTGGTTTCCGGGGGGCGGGGCACGCTGTGGCCCCGCCCACCAGGCGTGCCCCGGTGTTCCCGCCCTCCGCAGACGCGCGCACGCCCACTCTGGATCCCGACACGATGCACGTGCGTCTGCGCCTGTCGGCCGACCGCCTAACGGTGCGCTGTGCCCTGCTGGGCCGCCTGGGACCTACGCCTGCGCTGCGTTTCGATGCGCTGTGGCAAGTGTTGGGCCGCGACTGCTTCGCCGCCGGCCGCCACTACTGGGAGGTGGACGTGCAGGAAGCGGGCGCCGGCTGGTGGGTGGGCGTGGCCTACGCCTCCCTGCGGCGTCACGGGGAGTCAGCCGCTGCTCGCCTGGGCTGCAACCGCCAGTCCTGGTGCCTCAAGCGCTATGACCTCGAGTATTGGGCCTTCCACGACTGTCAGCGCAGCCGTCTGCAGCCCCACCACGACCCCGACCGGCTGGGCATCTTCCTAGATTACGAGGCTGGTATCCTCTCCTTCTACGACGTTTCGGGCAGCATGAGACACCTGCACACTTTCCGCGCTGCCTTTCAGGAGCCGCTCTACCCGGCCCTGCGGCTCTGGGAAGGGGCCATCAGCATTCCCCGGCTGCCCTAGGGGCTGAGACCAAAGCGACTGCCCTAGGTCTCTAAGGCCCTGGTCTCACCCGACTCAGACGTGTCTGAGCACCCCCATCGTCTACAAGCCATGCCTTGTGCTTTAACTTCCTCTCCAGGCTAGTCTCAACCACACCCTAAAGACAGTTCCTCTGCTGCTGCTGCTGCTGCTGCTGCTGCTGCTGCTGCTCCTCTCATCAGATCTTCCCACCAGAGCGCTTGTACTACACTGCTTTTAGTCCAGGTTCCTGAAAAGACACATCTGCAGGTGAGCCCTAAGCATCCTGACAAGTTACAATACATTGTCCTTAACCTCAGACCGCCTCCCTCATACAGCATCCAGAACCCCCTCGCACATAGTAGGTGCACAATAAATATGTGAATGAATGAGAGTCACCCAGCCCTGACTCTATGCAATGTCCTTTGGATCTGCTGCCTCCTCTCCACTCTACTTTAGCTTGTCCATGTCACCTCCCTTCAGAGTAGCTTCAAGAGCCTCTTAATAGCTCCTGGCCTAAACCCTCTCCCATTCTCCTCCACTTATAGCCTGAGTGATCTGCCTAAAACCTCGACCTCTCAGAACTATGAAGAGGTTCCCAAGACTGGGGGGTCGGGGGGGCGGTGGGTTGGGGGGGAAGCACTTCACCTCACTTTAGCATTCAAGGCTTTTCTAGTCTGCCCCTCCTCAGCTAGCCCCTACTGCTCTTTTCAGAGACTCTCGATCAGAACTGTGTGTCACCTAGTTCCACCTCTGCGCCTTAGGCTCTGTCCTTCTCTTGTGCCTTATACACATTTATATAAGAAAGCCCTTTCTTCTTCTTTGCCTGTCTCAGTCTTCCTCAGGCTTAACCGCCCCCAAGGAAGTCTCCCCAAGCCACAAGAATCTCTGTCAGAGCCACAAACCTGGAACCTATCTTTTCAACTAGTTTGGAAGCTTTCTAAGGGCAGCTATGTCCTGTACTCCTCCACCCTGAAATATTCAGTAAGTCTTTTCCTTCCCACGCTGTGAGATTGAGTGATCAGCAGCAAGCTATTCTTGACTCAGAGCAACTGAGCTGGGAGAGCCTCACAGATCACCCAGCCTGACCTCACTATACATTTGGAGAGACTAAGGTCCTGAAAGAAAGTTGCTTCAAGTCACCTGTGGTGATAAAGGGCTAGGCCACACCCCAGCTCCCAGGCAAGTGTCTGAGTTGCCCCTTGGCCCAGCCCTTCAGGCCCAGCCTTCAACCTGGGAGATAGTACTGCTTATTTATTTCTCAGGGGATGTTGGGAAGAAATCAGGTGACCATTGCTAAGCAACCACGGGCAGTTTTCCCACTCTCCTAGAATTAAAAGGAGCTATGAGTGGGGTTTGGGCAGCCCAGACACCATAAGCTCCTCAGATCCCTTAGATCCAAATGTTACCGAGGAAACCCAGAGAGCCCCATTTTCTGGAAAGAATCGACAGTAAAAATAGAGCAGGCCAAACCAACACGACCTCACAGGGTGGCCAGCACCTCTAGCAGGGAGGGAAAGGCCTCTTTCCAGGGCTTCTGTCTCAGTTCTGAAGGTTCAGGTTTGATTTGTCAAATTCCATGGACAGTTTTTAAGTTATACTGTATTAAAAGTATCTTGTTAGATGCTCAGCAGGAGGGCAGTGGTAGGGTGAGGAAAACGCAAAGGTGAATCTCCCATGTCATTTAAACAGACTCTCAGTGCATCAATTTGAACCTTATAAAACAAATTTACAATAGTTTTTGACCTAAAAATGGCAATTTCACATGGGGCAATCTAATACAAGTAGAATGCAAGGCAGAAGGGACCTCAGAAGTGCTTTTAGTTCTAACTAAATCATTTAAAACTCTAGGCTGGATAGATGTCTAAGCACTATGGTCTAGGAATCCTAAAAAAAAGGCAAATTAATTCTACTGGGGATGGCACAGAACTGAATTCAGG